AGCAGGAGCAACTTCTTCCAGCTTTTGCAATGCAAAAGGCACCCATCTAGCCCAGCAATGAGCACCTACAAGGCTGTGCACCTCAGGAGATGCTGCTTGTGGGACCGAGTCAGGAGGAGGCAGAGCTGTCCCTGGGGGTGACCCTCAGCGTTCCCTCCAGGGAGAGGAGAGGTGAGAGCCTCAGTACCTGCGTGTTGGGGTGATCCAGCATCAGTGTGTCCAAGGAGAGGGAAGCTCCTGCCCTTTGTGAGACAATCAGGCTCCAGAACCCCTGTGGAACCGGTGGGGAAGGGGACCTCCTGTGAAGGTGCAGGGTGAGGTGTCTTCAGAGGAGGACCCACAAGTGCCAGAGATCTGCTCCCACTCTTTCAGCTGCTGCCAGGCCCTGCTGAGGACACGTGGCCAGGACGGGGGCAAAGCCCTTTGCTCCAGTGAGTCCTCACAGAGCCCCTCTGGGAGACCTACGTTGTGGGTCTGTTGTGGGGAGAAAAAGAAAACACATCCTTATCTCACTGCACACAAGGGTGAGAAGCAAACTGCAGAAATAAGGCAAGCAGGGACCTTCTTTCAGCTTCGCAGGGTGTCTGACTGCACCTGAACTGTCCCTTCCAGATGCCTCCTTATCCTTCCTAAGAGCCTCTGATGACCTGTAAAATAATACAGCAGGGGATGCTCAGATTTAGTCTGTTGTCACTCTAACAGATGAATGTCTGCCTGACCAGAGCTACTAGGCAGTATTTTTTCTTTAAAATATGTCAAACATTAACCAAGTTTGAGATCCATCTCATCCAAGACTAATTTCTCCTGTTTTTAAATGTCTACAAAGAGGACATCTCGCTTTGAGATAATAATTCTGGGCTCCCCAGCTCATTTAACCCGATTTATTTGACCGGTGTAGGTATGTAATTTGGGATGGAATGAACTGCCTTCTCAGAAAGCTTGTGTTCACTCAGCTGAATCTCAGCCAAGAGTCCAGTTTCTGTAGCTACACATGAGCCTGGAAATCAGAAACCTGATTCTCCATCACTGTAATGCAAACAATAAATACCAGGGATGCCACATGAGTCCAGAAAATGTCATCTTGGCTTCAGGATCCCGGCTGGGTTTACTAAAAAGCAATTAGAACAAAACTTTTTATTTGAATCAACCAGTTTCTGCTGGGGGATGTGGAGAAGTGTCTATGTGAAACTTAGAGCTTATTTCTGAGGGTTTTCTGGCTCTTATATAGGCAGAAACTTAACTTTTGTTCTGGGTTTGTGAGGACTGGATACTGAGGAGGTCTGGTCATGGACCCGGTTCATAGACCCCATCATAGAGAACTAAGTTATTAGAGTTATTGCTCTTTGCACCCTGTTACCTTCCAGCACATACATGTATCTTTAGGTTGCTGATGCACTGGCAACAGTTGTGTCCTGCTAATACCCCACCACTGAAATCAGGCAGAATGAGAAGCCCTTGGTTCCCCCCTGTATTTTATGCAAATGAATATTAGAATAAACGATGCAACAAGAAAGAAATTATTTCCAGAAATGCGAAAATCTCATGTTCTCCTGTGCTTATATTAAAGGGATTACACTCCATTTCCTTCTTAATACAGCTAATGCTCTATGGGAAGCCCTCGGGCCAGGGATTAAAGCACTTATTCAATTAATTAGGAACAAACCTCTGCCTTAAAGTCAAACACACAAATATCAGTAAGCCCTTGAGAGTGTCTTCCTTCTAGAATAGGGAAAATGGATCCTATTTCTGATGTAAATGAAACCAAGTCTACACTCTAAAATTACCAGGAATTGCACAAATTAAGAAGACTTCCTTTTAAAATCCAGGCATTCTGTAAAGCAGCACGGTAAAGGAGGGACAGTTTGCCACCTTGAACTCCCACCAGGTGCAGTGGGAGTAGAATCAGGGCCTAGAAGGCTAATAAAAATGGAATACAATTTTAGGATGTAACAGTGGTAACCAGCTCCAAGTTGCAAGCACACCAGTGTTTGAAGTTAGGGGCGAAATCCTGGCCCAGCTAAACTCAAATAGCAAAATGCTTATTCAGGAGGATCTGAATTTTACCTAGGGTGTCTGATTCATTAATGAGATAGGAGACAATTTCCAAAATCTGGCTCCAAATCCTAATCTTCCTTGATGAAGGCTTGATCCTTCCGTCTTCTCGCAGGCACAGCTCGCATGAAAATTAAAAGGCATTTTGCCAGCATAGTTCATGCAGGAGCAGCCTGCTATTGCTGTTCAGTTTCCTATTTCTTCTTCTCAAATACTAAATGATGGGGCTGACAGTTGCCAACAAGCGCCCGATTAGAGGCAGGTTCACATCTTCCTCTACTTCTGAGAGACATTGTCTGCCTCCTTGTTGTTAATTCAGATAGAGACCAAACCAAACATATGCCATTTTTTGGTGTTTTTATACATCTGGACTTTTTTTTTTTTTTTAACCTCCTTCACATGAGGGCTCCAGTGTCATTATCTGTCCTTGTAAAAATTCCCTGCCATGGTTCCAGACTTCTTTGAGCCTCCGGGAGTGATGAAGCTTGGCAGAAGGATGCTTCAGCCCATCAGATGCCTCCCTGTCCCTCCTGCACACAATGCTTGGCATGGGCTGGCCTCAAGAAGCACCAGCAGACAGGTTCAAGAGCCCATCACAGCTCTCTTGCTCGTTCCCACACATCGTCTCCTCCAGAATGAACTGCAGAGCTAAAATAGAAGCAAAACCTGAGTACCACCACTACCTTACGGAACACCTACAAGAGAAAACTACTCTAAATTAACTACTTTATTTTCACAATACTCTGGAGAAGTGATGGTTGAGATTTCCAGGGCCAGGATCCTAAACCAAGCACCTGAATCAAAGTGCCCCTATCTCTCAAGGCATCAATCACTCCAAACTTCCAGGGAGGTTTTCAGAGGGTGTTGGTGCTTTTCAACTCTCTAGACCCTTTTATGTGCATGGATATAAGAAAATTACAAGTGTGCCACTCAGGATCAGGTTTTCAAAGACAAGCGATTACATGTTTAAACAGCACCTTGGGAGAATATCCAAAGGGCCTGAGTGCACGCGTGTTGAGTTCAGGTCCTCTAAAATCAGATGTGAAGAGTTTAAATTAAAGTTAAGAACCTTAATTCTAGCATAAGACAATGCAACCTGTGTACACAATCTGTGCAGCTGCTTTCTGACATCTCATAGCTTCAGTAGGACTGCAGTAACATACAGGATTTGGCTCAGAGATGAATTTTACCTAAGTTTGGCCTTAATTTCCTCTGTTTGCCATCTATTTTCCAGTTATAAAATGGCAGGAGTGCTGTTTTGCTATTGTGCAAGGTGATTCACCAGGTATTGGCAGCATTCGGTAGAACCATCAAACAATACTCAGCCATTAATAGTTTAATTCAGGAAAACATGGTCGAGAAGGACATACCTCCCTGTCAGCCCACCCCTTGACAAGTGCTCTTTGGGCAGGGAATAAGATTCATTGCCTCAGTGTGGACGTTGAAAGAGGAAAGCGATGGGTGAGCAGGACCCCCATCACGTGAAAGAGGCCGGTGTAATCTGTGAGGGGAATCTTCATTCACGTTAACACCATGGGCAGATAAAGTGCAAAGAGGAGAATCTTCTTCAAGGGATGAGTGTTGACAGCTTGCTCTGTCAGCATGAGGTCACTCACCCATTTGGGTCTAAAAACATGAACTTTGGTGGGAGTGCAACAGGCAGGCAGGGGAGGATTTCTCATGGGGTTTATTTCATGTGTTTCGCCAGTGAATTGGTGGATGTTTGTGGCACCCTCTGATCAGAAATAGCAAGTGCTCTTCAGCCTAATTGGAGGCACCTGTAGTTCTCTTCCA